AGAAGACGGCTCTGGAAGACGAAAACAAATGGGCGGCGCTGGACATGACGACAGCCGATCTAATTGTAGCCCAGCGGGACGATCCAACCCTGGCGGCAGCCAGAATGGTAGCCGAAGGGAATCCTGACCTATCGGAAGGAGAGGGTTTCTACTACGAGAACGATATCCTCTACCGCCGATGGGAGCCGAAGGGACCCGAAAGCGAGCACGGCCCAGTATACCAGTTAGTATTACCAGTGGAGTGTCGAGACGACGCACTCGGCATCGCTCACAATATCCCCTTGGGGGGACACTTAGGGAAAACGAAGACAGCCCAGCGTCTCCTGAGGCGATTCTACTGGCCAACGCTGTTCGGCGACGTGGCGAAGTTCTGCCGCGCTTGCAAGGCATGTCAGCTCGACTCCGCCCGTCGCGCCAGTAAGGCCCCGCTCATCCCGTTACCGATAATTAGCGAACCATTTCGGCGCATCGCAATGGACATCGTTGGCCCCCTACCGAGGACGGCAAGTGGAAAACGTTTTATTTTGGTGGTGTGCGTTATGCCACCCGCTACCCCGGAGGCCGTGGCACTGTCGTCCACAGATGCCGAACATGTAGCGGAGGAAACTGGTCCGCATCTTTTCCAGAGTGGGGATACCGGGGGAGATCCTCACTGACCAGGGACCGAATTTTATGTCCCAGCTCTTAACCGAGATCTACAGTTTCCTCCGGATCAGACCAATTCGCACGAGCCCATACCACCCGCAGACGGATGGGCTGGTTGAACGCTTTAACAAGACACTAAAGGCGATGGTGAGGAAGATGACGATCACGGAAGGTCGTAGCTGGGACAAACTATTACCTTACGTCCTTTTCGCTTACCGCGAGGTACCCCAGGCGTCGACTGGTTTCTCCCCCTTTGAACTATTGTATGGTCGCGAAGTGAGGGGACCCTTAGACGTACTTCGGGAAACCTGGGAACAACCAACATCGACCGACGAGAATGTAGTCGCATACGTGCTCAAGATGAGGGATCGACTGGCGGAAATGTCAGAGATCGTACAGGAAAACCTCTCCCGAGCACAACAAACCCAGAAGCAGTGGTATGACAGAACGGCTCGCACTCGAAAGTTCAACCCAGGGGATCGCGTACTCGTCCTGTTGCCGACGTCCACCCACAAACTGAGGGCGCAGTGGCAAGGCCCCTTCACCGTTACCGAGAAAAGGGGTGAAGTTAATTATGTAGTGGACATGGGGGATGGAAGGAGACGGCTACGGACATTCCACGTCAACATGTTACGGCAATGGTACGAGCAGAAACCCATATCCGTCTCTCTTTACACCGAAGAGGTTCCAAATGAGGACTCCGATGACATAGTCTGGTGGGGCGATGGCGAAAACCTAACCCCAGTGATCAACACGCAGTTGACCGCCGATCAAAAGCAAGAGATGGAGCACATCGTCAGCGAGTTAAAGATGTATTTGACATCAAGCCAGGAAAGACGAGACTGACGGAACACCGAATTGAGACTGGATCTGCGAAGCCCGTCAAACAGACCCCATACAGATTGCCCCACGCTTATAGGGAGACCGTCCAAAAAGAACTTGCTGAGATGGAGAAAGACGGGATAATTGAACCATCGACCAGCGAATGGGCGTCACCGATCGTATTAGTCCCCAAAAAGGACGGTAGTTTGCGCATGTGCGTGGACTATCGGCGATTGAACAGCGTGTCCGAAGCAGACGCCTACCCAATGCCGAGAATCGACGACCTCATCGATCGGCTCGGGGACGCCAGATACATATCAGCGCTAGATCTGACCCGAGGTTATTGGCAGGTGCCAGTTGCACCTCAGGCCCGCTCCCGCACCGCATTTACGACACCCTTTGGCCTGTACCAATTTACGGTGATGCCATTTGGGCTTCAAGGATCCCAGCTACCTCCATCGTATGATGGACGTGCTGCTCAAGGAATCCGAGAATATGCTGAAGCGTACCTCGACGACCTAGTTTGTGTTTAGCCGTACCTGGAAGGACTGCAGTCATCTGAATCGATATTATTTCGCTAAAGGGAAGCCGGATTGCCAGCCAAACCAGCAAATAGCCAGCTTGGGATGCAGCAGTGCGTGTATCTGGACACATAGTCGGAAGCTGGGGCAAGTCACGATCCGACAAGGGAACATCGACGCGTTTTGCCAACTCCCGCGTCCGTCACACAAGAAGAGGTATCGCTCGTTGCTGCTAGGACTAACGGGTATAACCGAAAATTATACCAAACTATTCGACTGACCGCACTACCCCTAAACGGATCTTCCGAAGAAAGACGCGCCGACGAGGTCGAGTGGCGGATGCCTAGCGAGACCGCATTTACGAGTCTGAACGACGCTTGACAATCGCCTGTTCTGAAGAGCCCGGACCTATCCCTATCCTTCATCGTGCCACGGATGGTCCTCCGATCGAGGAATTGCCGCTGTACTAAGGCCTAGATTTCCCCGCGCAGCAAACATCCTGTATGTTACTACAACCGGAAGCTATTTACACCGAGAGTAACGTACTGCACACGTCGAAAAGAATGTTTGGCTATCAAACTTGCTATTCAAGCCTTTTGCGGTGATACCTACCTCAGGGAAGACTCCTTTACTCGTACAGACGGACACGAGATCATTGTGGAGTGCTCACCGCTGAAGACGGTAATCCGAGACTGGCAAGTGAGTTCTAGCCTCTACAACCATACAACTCACATTGCTGTCAAAAAAGCACCGGCCAGAAGAGAAAGTGGAAATGCCGCGGTACTACCCGCGAGCATTGTGCGGCACGAGTAGTCTGTCAGCTGGAGCAAGGGGGTGGAGTGTGGAGACTGGTATAAGACTGTAATTGAATATTTGTAGTATTAGATCGCGATAGGGTGAGTGTTTGAGTGATGTATCTATAGGTCTAGCTGAATGTAGTCTACTTAGTGCTGCTATTCTGTAGTCACATAGATTTAGTCGAGCTTACATGTCTGCTGATTTCCTCCTGTCTCTGTCCTCTGCTGCCACATTTTGATCACACGCGTTTCACACTTGTGGTCACCCACTTCATATTCCTGTCACCCACCTTCCATAAGCGGACCCTCTGCTTCTAGATCTTTCTTACTATTCCTTTGTGCTATCATCCCTATAAAAAGTCTAGTGCATTCGCGCGAGTTCATGAGAAGTATAGTACTTTTGCTCAGAGAATCACTAAGTAGCAGCAAGCGCCGACCGCTCGGCCGCCATCCTTCACAATGACATGCAGACAAAAAGCAAATGGCTTCGATCGAATCCTGTCACAGCAGCTCGTCACTTTCATTATCGACTCAACACATTCTTTTTCAGAAGTTTCTTAAATCTTGTGCTAACCCATTAGGAAAGCTGACAGATTATGCCATAAGAATTGAGTTTCAAGCACGTGGTTCACCACATGCACATACATTACTGTGGATTGAAGGTGCACCGAAGTATGGTGTTGATGATGATCAGGTGGTATGTGACTTCATTGACCAGTACATCACATGCAAAATTCCTTATGATGATGAAGAACTAAAGGACATGGTCTTGCTTCTTCAGCAGCACAGTCACTCCAGTTATTGCAGGAAACGAGGATCATGCCGATTTAATTTTCCTAAACCACCCAGTCCCTACACCCTAATTGCCTCAAAGGTGCATAGTGATGATGATGATTCTTCATTGGAGACAAAAAAAGCAAAGTTTACTTTGAAACAAATTCACGGAGAAGTTGAAGAAGACTGTACTCGGTCATTGTGCTCTATTCTTCAAAATGCAGGAATTTCGTTGAAGAACTACTCGGATGCTCTTCAACAGTGTTCACAAGGTACAACTATTGTTTTAGAAAAAGAGCCTTCTGAATGTAAAATCAATCCATATAATACTCATGTAATGAGAGCCTGGCAAGCAAATATGGACATTCAATTTGTTATTGACGCCTACGCATGTGTCATGTATATTGCTTGGTATATGATGAAGAACGAGAAAGGGATGTCCGAATTACTCAAACAAGTTGGAAATGAATCTAGAAGTGAAGACATAACAGAGCAATTGAGACGTCTTGGATCTGCATTTTTGCACAACCGAGAAGTAAGTGCACAGGAGACAGCATACAGATTGCTCTCCATACCAATGACACAACTGAGCAGATCAGTTATCTTCCTCAACACAAACACACCTGATCAGAGAATAGGGTTGTTGAAACCTTTTCAATGTTTAGAAGCAATGGATGACAACGATGAAGATATATTTTTAAAAAGCCTTTTTGACAGATATGTACACAGACCACCACAATTGGAAGAGATGTCATATGCAGAATTCGGTGCCAACTACACAGTCATATATCGTGATGAAAATCAAGACGACAGTTTACCTGCAGTAATGAATGATGCAGATGCTGTTTCAATACGGAAAATAAAACTTACCAACAATTTCGGAACAAAGCACAAGCGTAACCGTGAGGCCATCATTCGGTTTCACAAACCCAACAAGGAGAAGAACCCTCAAGACTTTTTCCGAATGAAATTGATGTTGTACTTTCCGTGGAGAAATGAAGCATCAGATTTACTTGGAGGATATCCAGATTACTACTCGCACTATGAAAGTTGTGAAGACATTCTGCTAAGAAATGAAAGGAAGTATACTGCTGATATCGATAATCTCATGGAATATTTACAGCGACTGAATGAGTCTGGTCCTCCACAACATATGTGGTCAACCATAGCTCCAAGATCTGAAGAGAGCCGACTCCAAGAAGAAGAAGAAGGTTATGAACAACTAACCAACCTGGAAGAAGAGGACATACAAGCAAGCTCAACTCTGAGCACTCAACCCACTGGATCATTTGTTGCACAACTACATGCGAGATATGAAGCAGAAGCTAATAAGCAAGAATTACCTGCTGAAGAATATCGGGCAATGATGAGATTACTCAATGAGAAACAATTGAAAATAGTCAAATTCCATAGACGTTGGTGCAAACAAGCAGTTATTGCCATGAAACGTGGTCAACCAGTCAAACCATACAGAATCTTCCTTAGTGGTCCGGGAGGAGTTGGTAAATCACACGTGATCAAACTCATTCATTCAGACACTGTCAAGTTACTCAAATTATCTGGTACAGTTGAACCAGGCCAAGTGTGTGTTTTGCTCACTGCTCCAACTGGTGTTGCTGCATTCAATATTGGTGGAGTAACACTCCATTCAGCTCTACTACTTGGTTGTAACAAATTTCAAGGATATAAACCTCTGACAGCTGACAAACTCAACACTCTCAGATCAAGGTTAATGTCCTTGCAGCTGCTGATTGTTGATGAGGTATCTATGGTAGGTTCAAACATGCTCCTCGAGATACACAAGAGATTGCAAGAGATCAAGGGAGCATCAGCAGACCAAACGTTTGGAGGAGTGAGTATACTTGCTGTAGGTGACCTATTCCAATTACCACCTGTTTGTCAACCTCATCTCTTTGATCTGGTATCTGATGCATACGCAAGGCTTCATAAGACTGGATCACTCTGGAAAGATGAATTTGTCCTCTTTGAAGTAGACGAAATTATGAGACAAAAGGATGATGCAACATTTGCTGAGTTATTATGTCGAGTGAGAGTAGCCGCTTGTACTGAAAATGATATAACTCTTCTCAAATCTCGGGTTGTTCACGATGGTGACGAGACCTATCCACAAGATGCTCTCCACGTATACAGGAAAAACATTGACGTCGCCGAACACAATATGACAATGTTAAATAAACTGGCTCCAAAGACCGACCACATACTTATTCGAGCAGATGATGATACGAAGGGACAAACCAGACAAATTTCTGTATCTCATATTCCAAATAATGCTACAGCCACCGGAGGTCTTCCAACTACACTAATTCTTGCCAAAGGAGCAAAGGTGATGTTAACTGTAAATGTAGACGTATGTGATGGTTTAGTCAATGGAGCCAGAGGTATTGTTACAGAAGTCATTAAAAATGCCCACAAAATTCTAGCTGTTCTTGTAAAATTTGATAACACAGCTATAGGACTAGCAGCAATTCAAGGAAGTCCATATAAAGTAAGATATCCAAACTCAGTACTCATTCTAAGGCACACAGTCAGCTTCAACATCAAAGGAATTAGGGGTGCCGAGATTACACGAAACCAATTCCCCCTTGTATTAGCTTGGGCAACAACAATTCATAAAGTTCAAGGACTAACATTAAATCAAATTGTTGTCAACTTAAAAGGTGGAAGATTTTCTCCTGGACAAACATATGTTGCACTTAGTCGTGTAAAGACTTTTAATAAACTCTTTCTGTTCAATTTTCACCCATCCTCAATTACAAAGAGTGTAAAAGTTGAAGAAGAAATGACACGACTACGAAGCAATCATGCAATGTGTTCTTTTGAGAGTCAGCTTCTAGGAACAAGCCAAACCTATTTCTATCATATCTAAACATTCGTTCTTACGATGCTAAATTAGCTGACTTGCGAATGGATCCAATCCTGCAAGCATCTGACATTTTGTGTTTCAGTGAAACTTGGTTATCTCCACACCAACAAGCACAGTTTCTCAAAGCAGATTGTGATCGAAATACGCAAAACACTAAAGGAGGTGTTTTAACTTCAGTTAAAATACTGAAACCTTTTCAACATCAATCCTTCACAAATGGAAAATTTGAATCGCTAACAATGCTACTGATGTTATCACCAACAATAATGCTTTCCATCACCAATATATATCGCTCTCCAACTTTAAACTTCAGAGAATTCACAAACAAATTGGAATCCATAATCTCTACAATTTCTCCAAATCTGCCTGCCATAATACTTGGTGATTTCAATGCTGATTTGACAGATGGAAAGAATAGTACACTACTTCAGTTCATGAATTCTCATGGTTTCTCTCAGTTAGTTAACCAACCAACGACTGATAATGGAACCCTCATTGACCACGTTTACATAAGAAAGACTACTTCACTCAATACTAATATTGAAGAACACGATGCCTACTACTACACAGATCATGATTGTATACTGCATATCATTTTAGTCACTTATGTTATCTTCATAATCATTTTCTAACCCCGAGTTCTGAATAGTGCACACCTGGTTGGCAAAACGTGCGGTAGTGCATATGCGACGGTCTGAGTGGTTAGATACTTCGAGTCGTTGGATTGGCAAGGAAAAAACCGATACAAAGAGAAGATAGAGACAGTTGGCCTTTCACTTGAAGCTCACCCATATTCTGATATATTCAGTACTGACATGACTAGTTGGCCGAAGATCGAGTATGGTCACATATTCATCACCACCCGGCACCTACACCCAACAAGAGCTCGTTTCTTGGAAGCAGATGGATGGGCCTATAACTATTTCGAATCGGGCCACGCAGAACGGTTCTGTGTATGGTGTTTGGCACTGGTAATACGAAGTATGCTGTCCTGAAGGCCAAGGTAAAACTCCAGTCAACGTTCTCCAGATAATGCCCATGAGGCTTGGCTGATTACCAAGCTAGAAGGTGACATTCTCTGTGCTCACTGCACCTGTATGGCAGGGTAAGTATATTTCCTACTTAAACCGAGTTTCAGTATTATAATACTGTACTAATCTTTTTAGGCTAAATAACTGATATATACAATGAGCATACAAAATTCTTACATCACTGTTACATGTACAATATGATAATCATTTACAAATGCAGAACATTTTCCAGCTGTTAACATTAATTTCGGTGTGATGTTTTTTTCTACTCCCACATAATGTTCATAATATGTTCATCGTGGATCCACGTCATCTTCTTTGTTCCTGTTGCATCTTTCAACATAACTCGAGCAGAATAAGATACTCCACATTCAGCTGCAAGTTGAATGGTGCAACAATTGGTAGATTCACCAAATTTTCCATCAATATCCACTTCTTCCCCACAAAGAATACATAATATTCATCGAGAAAAACTTCTGAACACCTATTATTATGACATCCTCCATAAATATTTCAGACACTGCCATATCTGATCGGTCTTACTGCTGCGATCGGTCTCACTGCTGCGATCGGTCTCACTGCTGCGATCGGTCTCACTGCTGCAATCGGTCTCACTGCTGCAATCGGTCTCACTGCTGCAATCGCTGAAATCAGTTTCACTGCTGTAATCAGTCTCACTGCTGCGATCAGTCTCACTGCTCTAATCAGTCTCACTGCTGAAATCGGTCTCACTGCTCTGATCGGTCTCACTGCTCTGGTCATGCAATGCTCTGATTGGTCTCATGTAATCCTCTGATTGATACTCTATTCAGTTTCTCTGCTCTGTTCCAATGCTGAACTGATGGATAATTCTGTTCTACCACTCACTTTTATAGCTTGCAACTCTCTGACTCAAAAACTGTCACTATGACTGTTTTAGTGATGTAATGTATTTCACAATCCACTACACTGATCCATCAGCAACCTTAGTATAATGATCTATTTCACAATACCATCCTACAGTCTGGATTTCACAATCTCTACTATTGCATCAGCCATCTGATAACAATTAGCTAGCTTTCACAATCTGTTCTGCTATTGCACCACCAATCTGAAACAGCGAGCCTGGCATTTCTCTTTACGAATTAGCACAGATAATATCATCAGTATTCATGAACTCCTCATACACTGAAGATATTATAATTATCGGATAACATAATTATTCATTAACTTCATTCATTTGCCATTCACTTATGTGGAGAACGTTTTCTTGTTAACTCCAGGTTGGATACAATGTCTCTCAAAACCACATCTGTAGCATAAACTATGTTTTGTATAAAAGTCAGCATTATTTTGAAATCCCACAAACTCTGCACTGGTGACATTCATCATAACCATCACACTTAGTACTTCCTTTTCAGCATACAATAGCAATTTTTGTTGTTATTCCAGCCATTATTATAATCACAATAATTATTATTCACTTTTATTATTGTCATCAGATGAATGTCGAGCACTCATGCAGCTCCACTTACTAATTATTTATTATTAGCTCTCGTGCAAGTTGAAAGTTTGAGAAGATTCAAGAAGCATTTCGGTATTGTATGATATTGTTCTGTAGTTGAGAGAACAAGCGGTGCGGTGGGCGTGAGTATCTTTCAGCGCTACTAACGCAGCAGCGGCGACTCCACTACCAGCTAAGTTGAGCTCACGCCTTACGGTAACGTCACAAAACGTCGATAGTATAGCGCGATATTTCCCGATCCGTATCTGCTGCGCGTGCGTGTGTTGGCTCTGCCACCAACAAGAGCCCAACCCACTTATTTCTATTGGAAGTGTCGTTTGGTGCACGAGGCTAGTCCGTTTTCCGGAATTCGGCGGAAATTGACGACTGGTATATACATCGACTATTGTCCGTTACGCTATTTGGAGAAGCATTAACTGTGCACATACTGGAACGGGTATGTGCTCAGAAGTTTCGAGCTGTGCGTGCGTGTGAAAAGGCATTTGCAGCTGTACATGCTGATCTGAAATTGTTTTTGGATTATTGATAACTCCCAGCAGGTACTTTCAACTTTAAGCAAAATAAATTATTTTTCTACGGCCAGGCATTTTGATAGCTACGACTTTTCTACATTGTACACAAGCATTCCACATGTAGCACTCAAAGAGGCTTTAGAGACTCTAGTTCAGGAAGCATACATGGTGAGAGACAGTGAGTTTATTATAGCAGATGGTACTGGAAATGCGTACTGGTCTGATGTACCATCGAACTCCTCATCGAAACATAATATTACTGAAGAGATGCTAGTCACATAATTATGTGGAATACCTGATAGATAATATTTATGTTAGTATAGGTAATAGAATATGTAGACAGTGTATAGGGATTCCAATGGGAACGGATTGTGCGCCGTTGGTGGCAAATTTGTTTCTGTTTTACTATGAATATAGATATATGAAGAATATGATAAAAACTAATTTGATTCTGGCAAAAAGATTTAGTAACACAATGAGGTATATTGATGATTTGCTGACATTGAATAACACATCGTTTAATTCGGCCATTGATGACATATACCCAGAGGAGCTTAAACTAAAAAGAACATCTGAATCACCAACAACACTGTCATACTTAGATATACATATAACTATAACAAATGGGAAATATTCCACGGCAGTATATGATAAACGGGATGATTTTAACTTCAAAATTGTAAATTTTCCATATCTAAGTTCCAATATTCCATTTGGACCAGCATACGGAGTTTATATTTCCCAATTAGTACGTATAGGTAGAATATGTAGTGATTAGTCGGATTTTACGTTGAGACATTTCAAACTAACGGAGCGACTGATTCATCAAGGATACAGATACTCTGATTTGTGCAGGTCCTTTTATAAGTTTGCTAAAAAGCACGCACAAATTATGATTAAATATAGCTACGGCATACGCAAACATGTGGAGGATGGTATATGTCTGCCAGCAATGGATAGATTCCTCGGTCGCCATGTGTCGCATAGATAGAATGTATATTTATAGTCACATATTTATTTTGAATAATCTATTTTTAATTTTTAACATTTCTATTTCTACCATTTCTACTATTATTTATATTATTTATATTTTTCTTACACGTGTATATGCTGTGCGTTATTTAAAGTAATCGACAGAACTATTAATCTTATTTTAGGAGTTCTATTTTTTCTATTTTTCTTACACGTGTATATGCTGTGCGTTATTTAGAATAATCGCACGTTTTTTATGTCTCCGTCGTGTCGTCGTGCTGCGTGAGTTTCAGAGTTTTTATATTTTTCTATGAGTTTATTGGTCCTTTGAGGCTTTCTATTTTTCTACCGGCTGTTGTTTTTATCCTGTAGCTGTCGTTTTTTGTACATGATTTCTATCTATTTATTTTATAACTATGTGTAAGGGAGGTTGGGACACTGGGTGTGTAGGGAGAGTTGGGCCCATAAAAGACTCTTTAACCTACCGCCCCGGTTCTCAAGGCTGGGCACCCAGGGTCCTGCCTCTTTCTTTCTGTTTATATGTTATTGTCTGTGTTTTTGTACGCTTGGGTATGTTATTGTCTGTGTTTTGTGTGCTTGGGTGGGGGAGGTTCTTTCTTTTCCTCTGAGCTAGTATGCTATAAACATGTTTTTT